AGTTTATTGTTACCCAATTCATTCGACTAACAATAAATAAGTGTAATTATTTATCTAAATCTCCTTCCAATTAAGATGTGGAATAAAATTATGAGTGATTTTCTCAAAAGAATGTGGCCTCAATATATATCTGTGAAAAATGTTTGATCATATTATTAGAAAAGTGGGGTGCATGAGTCTTGTCGTCACTCTTCCCGTGAAACGTAGCACCATACTATTATTGGAAAACGCGTGACATGGTTTTACAAAGGGTGAGACAGATGTTTGGTGTAATTTATTTGCATTGTTGTTTCAAGCATTTAGTCACCTGATAAAAACAAAAAGACTATGATATAACCTTTTAGGATTACTCACTTAGGGTAACCTAAAAACTAAAAATGATTTGTGGGTTTAATATCTGGGCTCTGGATGCAACGTTAACCTACACTGATATTATTACTTTGAATAAGGTATAGATCGTACGGTATTTATGTCTATGAAGTCGTGTAAACACTTAAGACGTAAATCTGACATCTAATCTGTAGAAAAATGTTTGCACCATGAAACTCTTTTCAGAGGTAAATCCCAAACCAAATCATTAGAAAACTACTTATGCTATGAAACTCTCTTCAGAGGTAAATCCAACACCGAATATGTAGAAAACTGCCTACGCCATGAAACTTTCTTCAGAGGTAAATCCCACACCCAATATGTAAAAAACTGGATACGCCATGAAACTCTCTTCAGAGGTAAATCCCACACTCAATCTGTAGAAAAGAGCTTAAGCTATAAAACTCTCATTACAGTCTGTCTGGCACAACAAAGTTATGGTCCAGTTTTTCATGTGGTTGATTCTCAGCCCATAATCCTCAATTACAACAAAACTTTGACAAATGTCACTCTTCACTTAAGTTTTTGACCAATTGTGAAGATTGGAGAATTAATGGATTGAAACCTAGGTTATGCTCAAATTGCATATATCAAACTCTTTCAAAAAAACCTACATTAATGGAGAGCACACTTTCCACCTCAAAGATGGAATCCATTTTTATGGGATACACTAGATGCAGTAAAGTTAATGTTAATTTCTTGGAAAAATTAGTTCTGACACGAAAGAAAACGTTTGTTATTTTGACACACTTATGACTGACCTGATTTTTTCAGACGATGCACTCTCATCAAGTTTTCAATACCCTTGAAAGATCTCGTGTGTGACTATTTCATTTGTATTGAATTTTAGTCCTTCCAGAAGCTCAAAATTCATTCTCTCTCAAAATAATGTACTTCAAGGTGTTTTGCATGTTGGACACATTTTGACACTACTAATCTACATATTGAGTGTAGTTTTATATTTATAATCACCGAGTTCCCTTGCAAAGCATGCTGGGTGATTCATGTTACAGGTTCCAGTGATATCCTGGTAAGGTTAAGATGACTCAAGTTTGTCTATTACAATAAACTTATTTATTAAACACTAAAATTACTCTTAATAGAAAAATATATAGATTTTGTATTCATGCGTATACTAATATCATGACGTATAAATAAACTTGTTAGTTTTCCCCTAGAAACATGATTTTCCAATATTTTCATTGATTATACTGATTACTTCCAAAGTGAACTATTTTATAAAAAACATCAAGATCTCTAGAAAATTAATTACAAAAATAATTGTAAATTAAATGCTGATAAATAATAATTAAAGTTATTGTTTTTTTTTGGAAAGGTCAAAATGAAAGAAAACCAGAAAAAAATAAAGTCCACTTAACTTTAAGTGGTTATTAAGAAACAAAATAAATCATTGCGAAAAAAATTACTTATCGGCAGACTACAAATACGTATAATACTTTGAACGGTTTAATGATGAATGAAGGTTTGTGTTAGTCTTTCACACTGTTGTACGAATACTTATAATACTTTCAACGGTTTAATGATGAATGAAGGTTTGTGTTAGTCTTTCACACTATCGTACGAATACTTATAATACTTTGAACGGTTTAATGATGAATGAAGGTTTGTGTTAGTCTTTCACACTGTCGTCTTCAAACTTCTGCCGATGAATAAAACCCAGTACAGTTGTATTAATGAATTATTACCTACTACACAAAACTTGTTTCAGAGTGTTTATGTGTGTGAAGGAAAATGTCCGCTTCTGACATGACCAAAGACTTAACAGAAGAAGCATATTACTATTTTAAAAGAGTTTTAGTTTATTACAACTTCATTTTGTAGTCTTTATGCAATCAAACCGAGAAAAATAAATCTCACACAACTTTCCATTTTATGCTATTTGTTGGGGCATTTATTAAAATTTTATTTTATAAAGTTGTATACCATAAAGCTTGCTAACTTTTTGAAATCCCCTTACATTGTTATAGATGGAAAATATACGAAAAAATGATATTTTATATTACGTTATATATTGAATGACTTTGTTAAGAGGGTTCTACTTTCCCAATTTATTTAGATTTAGATCTTTTTTTTCTTTTTTGTACAAAATTTCTTGAATGACATTTGATACTTGATCATATTTCAGGTTATCCGTCTGTGGGATTTGTCATGTTTATCGTCAAGATGTTATTTTACTGTCTTGGTTGTTTGCACATTCCGTGCACCAGAAGCTATAATTTCTGATATTATCATCAAACAGGGATCGTGATAAAACAAAATGGCAGCCATAAACATCGCCCGTTCAAAACCACCTTTAAAATGTCTCAATATTAAAAATGGCTATTTTACAATATTAGCTAAGCGAAGCTAAATCTTATTGTACTTATAAAGCTGCCTAAGTTGCTATATACGTGTTTATGGGGAGAATCAAAATTTCAATTTTTAAACGAATTTTTATCTAAGTAAGTGACTCTTCTAGACAAGCATACAGAAAAAATAACGAACCTTGTCACTCTAATTCTTTCACAGAACTCTTCCGTCTGGGGTCCCAGTGATTCCTTCCTTGTATATGTATATATAAAGGACGATGCGCATATGATTAGATTTGAGGATAGGTTGGTAGAGATCCTTATGAGTAATCAAATCGAATCGGATATGCTCGCGCGCCACGCTTGGCATTGCTGGCACACAGAAAGATAGTTTGGTTTGAATTTCGCTAACCGTCCTTCATTTAGTAGTAAAAGACCAGAGGGAAGGCAGCTAGTCATCACCATTCAACGCAAACTCTTGGACTACTCTTATCAACGAATAGTGAGATTGAATGTCACATTATAAAGCCCCAACGGCTGAAAGGGCGAACATGTTTGGTGGGACGGGAATTCGAACGCGCGACCCTCAGATTGCGATTCGAAAACCCTAACCACCTGGTCATGCCAGCCCCCCAAAAATATAACTAATAAAAAGGAAACAAACTAGTATAATAAAAAAAATAATTTTATAAAGACAAGTAGGGATCGATATATACGTAACCTAGCTAGCTATAGTAATAAAGAAAGTTTTAATGCTACAATTGAAACAAGAAAGTCCAAAACTACAAAACTTAGTAACTTAAATTTTTCATCCCTACTTTGGAAAATCACTGTAATTGTGTTAGTCTAAGTAGGGGAAAAGTTTTTAAATCTTAGGTAAATCAGTTTTTTAGTTTTGATTTTCTTGTTTGAATACCTTTTTAGCATTAAAACGTTTTTATATTACTATAGCCAGCTAACTACTTGACTTTATAAAATTATTTATCATACTCCTTTGAATAATACAAAACACTTCTGAAATACAATCACAATACTGAGAATAAGTTGAAGTATATGTAAATTTATATGAAGTTTGTAATTGTAGCAATTAAAGAAATAAATCACCAACTTAGACATAAGGCGTGTGGAATTTTTAAGGCAAAAAATCCATTTTGTTTTATGTTATCCAAATAAAAAATATTAAACTCGATCGCAAATAATTCCTGATATTACTGTTTGGATTGCTAATGAAGTGTTCTTCTTTTCTTACTTGAAGTTCTCCGTAGAACAATAACATTGTCGTTTGAATACACTCTTCGAACTCCAGTCAACGTTAAAATGGTTACTTGAATCGATATTGCATCTTTGATTGAAGATGGCGTATCAAATTGATGAAGAAAAACTAAAGACAACGTTTCATCTGCTTTCATTTTCTTTGCCCAAATCAGTCAAACCTTTGTCTTCTCTCTTGTCCTATCAGTTTTTGCCTTTAGTTGAATAACATCCTATGATAGTACTTGAAGCCATGTTAAATGTATCTATTTCAAACAGTCATGTTTCATTTAGAGAAACTCAGTACGATTACACTTTTATGTAAACTATTTACAAACACGGCCTGGTAGTTAGGGCGCTCGACTCGCAATTTACGGGTCCCGGGTTCTAATCGCCGTAACACCGAACATGCTCGCCCTTTCAGCCTTGGAGGTATTATAATGTGATGATCGATCCCATCTTTCGTTGGTAGAAAAGTAGCCCATTAGCCCAAGATTTGGCGGCGGTTGGTGGTGTTGACTAGATGCGTTCTTTCTAGTCTATCACTGTTAAATTAGGGACGGCTATTTATATGTGTGTTTATGTGTGCATATAGACAATAATGGTGGAAATATAAGACATGCCTTTTATTAGCAATTTTTTGTGTAATGAAAAAATAAATAATAAAGAAAGAGCAGCTAAGCTTAAATGCCCAACAAAATTACTGATTTGTAATTAACGGAGAAATACTATTAGATATAGTAAAATAGAAAAAAACATTATATTTAGCTAAATATTGGAAATCTTATCAAAATACATTATAAACCAATTTAAAATGACCGTCAGTTTTATATCTAATGACATCACAATCTTACTGCAATTCCACTCGCCCGTTTCATCGAATGCCTAACAAAATTACTGATATTTAATTAATTGTGTAAAACGATTAGAAATGACTTAACAGTAAAGAGAAACATTATATTTGAACAAGTAATTCAAATTATACCAAAGTATGTTATAAACGAGCTTGATATAACGACAAGTTTTGGACTTAAACTTGAAATTAAAATTTTAATGACTTGACAATCTTACTGCAATTCCACTCGTCTGATCCATCAGGGCAATCACTTTTTCCATCACAGTTCATTCGCTGTTCCACACACACGTGACTAACATTGCAAGGAAAAAAATGAAGATCACATATACTTCTAGATTCTATATCACTTGTTATCCCAGGATTCGTTGAAACTTCATGACTTGAACCCTTATCTAAGATAACAGATTTAGCGAAGAAAGCCAAAATTATTGTATAATAGCACTGTTGTGACACAGGTGATAGAAATATTAGCTTTAGTACGTAGATAAAATTTTATAAACTCGAAACTGTATACAATTTAAACATGTTTATGAAAAATCAAATAAATTGTATATCAGAAGTTTGTAGACAGTCCTACCTAGCTATAAGTAATGAATGAAGAGTTATTGATTAGTTATGGCGGAAACAAATGAACTGTTGCCTGAAATTCCTAGTCACATATTATTTTATTTTACCCTCTCCCTCTGTTTTTAGTTTTTATAAAATCTGACTAATTAGCACTCTCGCATAATACGTTTAGCCTAATTTAAATCTTAAAGTTTAATATTTCTTTGAAGATTTTGACCTCATTTTAAGAATCAATAATAAATCAATAACATTTAGAAACTGTTTAATTTTCAAAATATAAAAGTCCATCATCATGTGGTCTTAGCAATAAATGTATAAAGTATGTACCTGTCTAACTTCTGCATATAATTTATCTAAAATGCTGTCGAAATTTCTGACGTTATACGTAAATGGGCTTAAATGAATCAATGTGTTTTTACTGAGCTACAAAAAATTTTCATCTGTAATGATTTGCTGCCTAAATGACACCGCAGTTCGTTACCTGTGAGTAACTGAAATCTGAAGTCATGAGATATGTCCACATTCATTTTACTGGTTTTAGCAGATTATTGTGATTAAGCATAAATGAATCAGCATATTTTCAATGTGTAAAAGATTGACGTCTGCAAAGTTCTGCTACGACGTCACGCATAAATGGCAACGGCTTTGACACCCTAGAAACATTGATGCGATTTTTTGCCGAGCTATCAAGGCAATATTAAAATAATTTCAGACCTCATGGTGAGCTCGCGGATAATTACGGCAAATAATTCATACTATGGAGTAGAATAATTACCCCGGACAACAGATGCTGGCCATCTCACTCCCTCGGTCAACAAGTAATATACTGTCCTCATCTCTAGTTAATAACTGTACAGTGTGATATACCTTCTAGCACTGAGCATTATCAATTCCTATCCCTCTAACTGTTAGCATTCAATGATTACTTTCACCTGGCAGATAAATATGGAAAATGTCATATACTCCACACTTTCTCCCTCTGCAAGGTTTCTATTTATAATGTCAATGCACATAATACAATTAGTGATGCCGTTAAATATCCAGTAATGTTAGGTTGCATTAGACAACATCTTAGAAAAAATACAGTAATACTTAGTGAAGAGTAAGAGAATCAGAAATAATATGTATTAATGGTCACTAAACACAATATTTTTTAGCTTTTCTTTTATCAACACCACGGCTAATGTTAATAAAGTTATCTTATACTAGCGTTCATAATTTGTAACCCTAGACGAAAACGATATTTACTGAGCTAACGAGTTTTTGAATTAATATCTTATTAGTCAGCGAAGCAACAAACCGAGAAGGTATATACTGTTGCGTCATCGAGGTCACGTGACGCTAGTAACACGTCATATT